GGGTCATTTAAACAAAAAAGACCTTTGACTAGGTCATTTAAATGAAGAGCCCCATTGGCAACGGGCAACGGACAACGAGGTTCTAATAAGGCTTAAACTACACACGCATAATTATCATCTTTTTATCATCTTTTTATCTAGGCCTAATTGCTTAAAAAATCACGACCTTTAACTTTTTTGCAATTTAAACTAAACTTTAGGGTAATTGTAAACATATCGCGACTTTTTTTAAAAATTGCAATCCGAACCCAATTTTGCTTGTCGGTGAGTTTGAAGCCTACGTGTCCGGGAAAATGATTACACGTGTCATTTCACTTTGCTGATTAGGATGTCAAGCTCTTACGTGGAATACAAAATTCAAAAAAAGAAGGGAAAAAATAATAAACTGAAAACAAATTTCAAAAATTCCGAATTAGAGAAATTCCTCCACTAAACACACAACAACTTTCTATACCTCATTCGTAGGCATCAAACTCGCTGGCAAGCAAAATTGGGTTCGGGGTGCAATTTTTAAAAAAAGTCGCGATATGTTTGCAATTACCCTAAAGTTTGGTTTAAATTGCAAAAAGATTAAAGGTCGTGATTTTATCAGCAATTAGACCTTTTATCTATTAATTGAGAAGTGATGGGTGAACACTTTCGATGTTGATATGGAAAAAATTTGTGCTTCATGTTTCACATGGTGCTTTAATTGCAATTTTATTAAATACATTGCATTTAATTGTACACTAGTACGTAACCTCGTGCGATGCACGGACTGTATTTGTTTTGATAAAATTTATAATTAAATGGTATTAATCAATAAGTTATAATACGTAGAACATTTACGGGTAAAGCCATATGTTATTAAAATTCTCCTTGTTTTCCATGCAAAATTATTTTGCACTTGAAAACTGTAGATCGACATTTACCAAGATGCTCTCCATTTGGTAATTGCGAATTGAATAGACACCTCATTTTTCTAATTATCTGTTGATTTTCGGATTGTTAGCACGACAAATAAAATTATAGCGAAAATTTGTATGTGATAAATACTAACGATATGATTTATGGGATGAAGATTAATTTTTGATATAATATAAAAAAGTTGCCACCATAAAGTGTATATTTTGAGTATTTGGTTCATTTTATGAAGAATTAATCTATTTTGCCAAATTTATTTATCAAATAACTTACTAAATTATGCGTTAGTGTTGACAAAAATATTAATATTATAATAGAAGATATTACATGTGCATTTTTAAATTTTAATTGTGTTATTCTCTTTTTCGTCAAATTTGTCACATGTGTTCCTCTCTTAAAATGTATTATCACAAAGTCTTGTGCTTTTCTATTTTCAATGTCTAATAAAAATGAATAACAAATTCTTATTATTAGTTACTCTCATATATTTAATTAATAGTTATTTCTAGTAAATAATTTATTTTTCTCACATCTATTACAATTGTTATATTTTCAATATATATATATATATATATATATATATATAATTCTCGAATGTGCTGAGACTAAGTGACATATTCACACGCTTTGGAATCCTATGTGGTATATTTTTAAGCTTTGTTGTTTGTCTTAAATGAATTTTAATTTTTTTTCCAATCCAAAAGTAACCAAGCTTGGAATATCCATAGATATATTGGATATTTATGGTACTTTTTAAAAGATATTAATTAGTTTTAATACTATTTTCTATTGTAGACGTGATTTATAAGGTATAATTTTTTCTTAATATTTCTTTTAAAATTATAACAAATTTACTAACTTAAATTATAAATATATTAAAAATTAATAATTTTTTATTTATTAATAAATTTATATATATAATATATCAAATTAATCATTTCTTGATGAACTTCTATTTGAAATCCATATTATACATACAAAATAAATAAACATTATCTTTTTAATTAAAGTTGTATTATCTATTAATATTAATTTGAAAAAACAAAATTATTTAAACTAACTTGACTACAAATAGTTATCTGAT